GCCACCCGATCCCCTGCTCGAGTTTGTCTCTTTCTGGCCACCGCTCGTTTTCCCTGCTGAAACACGAGTCCGCAAATTTGAGGCCAACCAGAGCTTTCGTGAGAGTGAAACGCGCAATGTTAGCCAACATCACTTTCGCGTGCGCAGATGGCCACACCATCGGGCGCCAGGCGAACATTGGTGCTCGCATCGGCTGAGCCAGTCCCTGGATCCCGCGGCAGATTTTACCATCAGAGTTTTGAGTGGCATGCTTGGCGATCGTTTTTCCGGCCTTCCTGGTGAGCTCAACACCTTCTCTACCTTGCCAGCGTCTCTATACACCCCAACAGCGGAAAAGCCGTGGCAGGGCATCTGGGTTGGAGACTATGGCGGTCATGGGCGCGAATTTGTACTTATCACCCAGCCTGATCGAAAGGACGAGAGGCAGCTCCCACACGACATGGACAAGCTTCAAGATCTGCTACGAAGTAGAGACGATTCGTCCGCTATCGAAGATGCGTCTCAGGACGTGCCGCTTGCTGGAGGTCGGCTCGAAGCCATCAAGCTGACGGGCGATATCAATGTTCCTCGAGGAGAGTACACGTTCATAGCTCCCGAAATTGGCAATGGCGGACTAATTCGCATCGCCGACGAGTCTCTTTTTAGAGGGGCTAGGATAGTACAAAGCATGGGACACATTGCTGAACGGGAATTCGTTCAAGGTAGGTTAAGTCAAACTCTCCCGTTCTATTTACTGATGTAGTAGATTGTTACATACCTACCCAGCTAATTATGATATCTCACAATCGGCTGGCGCAGTATTGGGAAAGCTTTAGGCATGTTTCGTACTATCAACGAATAAATCTGGAGGCGTTGGAAACCTTTGGCCTGTAGTGCGCCAAGTCAAATACGATGATTCTTAAATTTTGCTCTTAGCTCCTTCCTGACCAGTGGATACTAGGGTCTCTCCAAATATGAAGATAGGTTCCTTGTCGGCAAATTTTTTGACATCATCTTGTATCTCCTTCGTCGCCGGTGCGGCCAGCGCCTTCTTGATTTGGTCGAGACTTCCCCAAGTCAAAGTTGCTTGGGCGCAAAATGCGGCATCGTCGTCCATTTTGTAGACTTTTGCCGATTCCATGCCGTACGGACCCCAAAGCTTCTCGACCAGTGGTATATGGACCTTGAGGTAGTGGTCCATATCAAGGGTAGTGCCTTTATGATAAAGAACGGTGAGACCTGCCATGTCAAATGCGTTGTAAGGAGCTGACAGATATAGGAGAATGAGGATGGGAGGGAGATGAAGAAAAAAGGTGGAGCATTTTATAGCTGAGCGGGGCGAGTGGGGGCCTGCCCCGCATGTAAGGAACGTGTCAACTGTGACGTGACGCGGTCACGTAATCAGTGCACGACTTGTGATACGCCAATCAAAAGCTGTCAAAGTCACCCAGTCGCGGCCCCTTTTCCCCCGACGACAGTCTGATCAACAATTCAACTGAAACCCGCCCATTTTCTGCCGCAGTAGAACATCAAAGAGATGACCAATTCCCTTTGAATCCAATCACTGAAGCTCCAGCATCTTGTGAGTTCCTGCAGCCCGTCGGGAAGTGGCGCCAGCTCACTATGCAAGCAGCCATGTCCGAAAAGCGTTCTGCGTCAGCCGTTCGGAACCTCCGGTCCATGTTTGAGACCAAGTCCTCAGAAGCCGCACAGACACAAGACGTGCGAGGGCGCTCAACGCCGGGGGACGGACACAGCAACAGCCGTCCGAATTCGACGGTAAGGGCGAGCTTTGTGCCTGTCGATGTCCCCGTCATGGACGATGACATGCCCGGCCTGAAGAAGGTGACAAGCGCCAGTCTCCGACGAGGTAGCTTCAGCGAGGGCAGCGATCTCAATGGCTCTGCACCGCTTAAAAAGCCCCTCTCGACCACGGAGCCTCCAGGGGAGAGCGTCAATGAGACTATGCCGGAGACGGCCATTGAATCCTCGGCTGTGTCGTCGGTGGGCGAGCAAGTTGCAAACCCAACCCAGCCAAGCGAGGAAGGTGTCAACGGCAACGGCGTCAAGGAGGCATTGATTTCTGACAAAAGCAATGCAACGCCAGAAGCCGACCAGCACAAGGACACAGAGATGCCCCGACCAAGCGAGACTACTCCCCCCATGCCGGAGGAGAAGCCGTCTGCCACGGCAGCGGAGGAGACACATAAGTCCAAGCCCGCAGCCTCGACAAAGGCGGCAGAAGGGGCTTCCGCAAAGGTTGGTAAGATGGCAGACAGTGGCAAAGCCAAGCCAGCATCGAAACACACAAGTATAGCCAAGGCCGGCGGCCCTGGGCTGACTAAAAAGCCTAGCCGCCCTTCACTTACGGCACCCACAGCAGCGTCTCTGGCACGTTCTCAGAGTGCTCCGACCGCCAATGGCAAACACTCACCCACCACTAAGCCGAAGACTACTAAACCCGTTGATCTTCCATCTCGTCTCACTGCACCGACCGCTGCCTCTCGTGCCAAGCATGAGACCGCCCCGACGTCTGCCTTCAATGGCAAGACGTCGGTCGCTTCAAGTCGCACAAAACCCGCAGTCTCTAAGCCTGCGCCACGTCCATCTATATCTCGTGGCCCACCGCCGGCTGCTACTGCATCCAAGAAGCCCGCCACTTCAGACGGAAGCTTCTTGGAGCGCATGATGCGGCCAACGGCAGCATCGGCCAGCAAGGTTCACGAGAAATTTGAGGTGAAAAGTCCGCCACGACGTAATTCTTCTACGGCCAAGGTAAACGGCCCCAAGAAGCCTAGAGTGGCCCCAGCTAAGAGAAGACAGCGGATCAGCAAGACAATGGAACCGACTACGGAAGAGCAGCCCGAGGCGGCCAACGTCGAGGCTTAGAGACACGCCGTCATCGCTCTTTTACTTTTCTGTTTTTGACGCGCTGCATGGTAGAGGCCCGGGCTCAGCCATTGTGATACCCAGCGTATCGGATAATAATCTGTTCAACATTTGAATTACTATGTGCATGTGTGCGTGATTCCCGCGAGGTTGTGCGTCATGTGATATGTGACAAGCGGAGAAATCCGACTTCATATTTTGGCAGTAGGCGGCGACCAGACACAATGGAAGGCAGCTCACCGTGGGAGGGTAGGTACTGTTTGTACGATGAAGCTGTGTCTAACCACGTAAAGATGTTCCCTCGCGCTCACCGGCCAACACAATCCGCACCAACCAAGATGAAGAAGCTCATAAAGAAGAAGAGCAGTCAAAACCAACCACTTCTACGCCTCGCACAAGAGTAAAGTCTCGGCCAGTACGTCGACATGGCACAGCTGCACAGTCTACTGTGCTGGAATCGCTCGACGACGATTCCATGGGGCCGCTGGGTCCGCTGGGGGTCGAGCCGGTAGCGGAACCGTCTGCGCCAGCTCCGCCAGTCAAAGAACCCAAACCTACCGTTGTAGAGGGTCCGGTATCTCTCCCCGAACGTCCTCCACCGTCCCAGCCACTGGAGCAGGCAGCCAAGCCAACGTTTCATATCACCGTGGGGGACCCACATACGGTTGGCGGCGCCGCCAGCTCGCATACAGTCTACTCGGTCATGACACGCACTACATCCAAAGCTTACTTGCAAAACAGCTTCACCGTCAGCCGGAGATATCGGGACTTCCTCTGGCTGTATGAGCGACTACATGACAATAATCCCGGTGTAATCATACCACCGCCACCCGAGAAACAGGCCGTGGGGCGATTTGACTCAAATTTCATCGAAAGCAGGCGGATGGCTTTAGAGCGCATGGTTAACAAAATTGCCGCGCATCCTACGCTACAGGTGGATGGTGATCTGAAGACGTTTTTGGAAAGTGAGGCGTTCAATATGGACATCAAGCACAAGGAGAGGAAAGAGAACCTTCTTGCGCCCGAAAGCAAAGGCTTCATGAGCAGCATTGGCATATCTTCGGGTAGCAGCAGTGGCGGCAAGTTTATAGAGCACGATGATTGGTTTCATGACCGACGGATCTACCTTGACGCGCTGGAAAACCAACTCAAGGCGTTGCAGAAGAGTACAGACACTGTCATGGCCCAGCGGCGGGCGCTTGCAGACGCATGCGGCGACTTCTCCTCCTCGCTGCACAATCTTGCCACTGTTGAGCTGTCGCCTGCGCTGTCTGGACCACTCGACTCCCTTGGGAGTCTTCAGCTGCGCATCCAGGAGCTTTATCAGCGTCAGGCCCTTCAAGATATGCTCACCATTGGTATCGTCATTGATGAGTATATCCGCCTTGTGGGCTCCGTGAAAAAGGCGTTTGAACAACGCCAAAAGGCCTTTCACGCATGGCATTCTGCTGAAAGCAAGCTCCAAGAAACGAAGAAGCAACAAGACAAGCTGCTCCGAGCCGGTCGTAGCCAACAAGACCGGATAACACAAATTCAAGCGGATGTCGCAGACGCCGAGCGAAGGGTTCATGCCAGCAGACTTCTATTCGAAGACATGGGACGTCTCATGCGTAACGAACTCGGCCGGTTCGAACGAGAGAAGGTCGAGGATTTCAAGTCGGGTGTTGAGACTTTTCTCGAAGGTGCCGTTGAAGCCCAGAAAGAGGTACGAGATACTTCCCAATGTCTCCACCATGTGGCTAACAAGTCAATCTCAGATCATCGAACTTTGGGAAACATATCTTTACCAGCTAGATGCTGATGACGATGGTCCCCTTGCCATTCCCGCCGGTGTGCGTGCCGATAACAACGATAAAGGCAACAATACCACCATGGAGGCAGGAAGCTCAGGAGCTGGGAATGATAGTGATGCCAAAGGTTCCTCTTCAAACTAGATGGTACTCCTTTCCGCTCATATTCCTGTTCGACGATGTCATGGTGTGTAGATTATTTACGAATTAAATTAATTGAGCAAAACTTTGATATACGAAGCTACTGTGATGTCGATCCTTATGATGATGCCTGATGCAATGCAGACCGAAAAAATTCCGGTGACAGCATTCCACTACTAAACAATTGGCAAAAAAGAAGAATGCCTCCATACGGATTCGAACCGTAGACCTCGGCATCGCACGCAAGTAATACTAGTGCCGCGCTCTACCAACTGAGCTATAGAGGCCAGTTCACGCAGAGGATGTCAATAACAAATTATATGTACTGCTAGCTGCAATATTGGGTTCATAGCGAGACCTGGACGATGGCACATGCTAACCCATGGCACTCCAAATAATTGGAGACAGAAAGTGAAGTCATAATAGAGCGTATCGAGTTTGCGTAGCAACTTTTGCGCAACATTTCACTCACACGGCGTTTTTCTGCACCTCGACGCCATTCGCCACAACGCCCCTCGCCTAGGTATTTGCCTGCACAAGCTCTACTTATCAACTTCATCCATGTACTGATGCGATGTTTTCAGCTTCAGAATGCTCATGGCCATGCAGCCTGAACTAAAGAGCAGACAGAAACCGCTCCAGAGCTGAACGGTGAGGAAATTCCTATTGTACGCGGTGATCAGGTGGCCTGCGATGACCGGTCCCGTGAGGGCGAAGATGGCACTGCTTGAATACAGAATGCCCGTCCACTGCCCGAGTTTATTAATGTGATCCGGGCCCAGAATGTGTGCCACCGAAGCAGGAGGGAGGCCGATTACGGCTCCAGAGAATATCCCAAACACGACCACGAATCCCATGGCGGCCGAAACGGTTTTGGCCGTCGTCCAACAGGTGAGGATGAGCATTGCTGCGATGAAGGTAACGCAAGCGTGCACTCGCAGAGCACCAAACTTGTCTCCTAGATACGCAGAGCCTAGTCGACCAAATGTTGAGCATACATTCATGATGCTGAGAAGGAGATAGGTCTGGAGGGCACCGCTAAGAGTCTTGGTGGTAGGTGTGGCAACACCGCGGGAGCCTACACCGGTTGCAACAGCCCATTCTTCGAGGTTGAAGAATACGACATAAAAACCGAAGAAGAGCCAGCACACTCCTACCGTAAACCAATTGTATGAGGCGTTGCCATATGCAGTTGGATCAAAGTAGGTCCGAAACTTGCTCCACCTTACATCGATACGCCATGGGTGATCTGGGGATGGTCGCGCCGCAAACAAGGCCATCAAACAAGTGCACGCCGTCACGGTTGACACATACCTCTGTGCATTGTTGAACCCCACCTTTTCGGTCAGCATCCGGTTCATCATGGGATAAACAAGGCCTGCAATGCTGGCTCCCGACGCCACGATGCCGATTGCGAGACCTCGTTTTCTCTTAAACCAAGTTGCAACAACTAAACTGTCAGTTCGAGACGTGTCACATAACGGCAAATACAACCTTGAGATGATGTGACGAAAAAGCAGGCCATGCCCAGTCCGGTGATGAATCCTTGGCAAAGCCAGACCAGAATATAAGTGCCCTGGCCATATTTGGCGGCCCCATTCACGGTGCTCAGCACAAACGAGCCCACGACAACGAATATGGAACCAATCAGAATGAGATGAAAGCTGTGATTGGCATCGAGGAAGCGGCCGACCGGTGCCGAAAGAAGCAAGACGAGAGCCGACTGCGTGGAACCAACGAGATTGAACAACAATACGTCAGTTTTGGGAAGAAGTGTCTGCATGTAAAACGATGCATACGTGCCACATGCCTTATGGACATTAGCGTGCACTGCAAGACAGGCGAATGGTCTTACATTTACCAAGCCCCAACTGTTGAACATCAGAAGAAAGCCCCCCAAGAGACAAACGTATGGCCGCCATCAAGAAGGGAACTTGGGCCCTTCGGGCTCAGTTGAAAGGTCTTCCTCACTGTCGAGCATCACTGTTGCAATCTCAACATCCTTCTCTCCATGCTTCTCCTGAATGATATGAAGCGATTGTCTTTCACCTGGCGGTCCGTTCGTTTCTGCTGGCATTGAGGCAGACATTTTTGCGGCTTTTTAGGGTTGGGAGAGCAGGCTGATCGCTATATTTCCTCACGACATCGCCCCATTGACAGTGGGAGTCGCGTGGGGCAGCAGCCTGTCGTTATACCGGGTGCAACCATGGAGCAAACAGGAAAGATTGTGGCATATGGGCGTATCAGGAGCGCACCATCCACGACTGATTCACCCACGGAGTGTCATGGTTGGTAGGATTGCAATGCCACACGCTACATCCCTTGGCCCCCAACTTCGACGGGATCGCCTTTAGCCTACCGAATGACCATACCTTATGTACATGGCACCGACAACGGCGTTTTCTTCTACGGACGTAGAACTTATAACCGCTGCTACATGTAGCAGCCACAATGCGCCACAGCTCAAATTCTAGACTTTGTCCTTTCGAATATCTCCGTTGGATGATAACGTCACCACCACACTCCGTGGTACAGGTCACGTAGTAGACACATAGATTCAAAGCTCTTTGCACTTCATACCAGCTCTCTATCTCGCTTCACTGTATTTTCTCCTCATGAATAATGCGGTCAGCGTATATGAGATGGTCCCGCTACAGGTACGTGTCGATCAATCTGTGATCTTACTGATATGTAGCACTGATGAAAATTCTAATCAGATTGCCGAGGGATAACATCAATTGCCAGAATGCTGATATTGATGGCAATCACTCAAATTCGGTAAATGGGTCTACAAATCTGGTGGCATATATCTGTGGTCTTAATTTCACACTTTCTACGCCAATGGGGTTTGCGAATGCATGATTGGCTCAGGCGACAACAATTTCAACAGTGCCGTGTGTATGTGTGTGTGTTGTGCATCGAGGAGCTGAACAATTCCCACATATAGCAGCCATTTATTAGGCTATCCTGCGATCTAGGAGCGCGGCACGTTTGTTTTTCCATGTCTCAATAACCTGCTCTGCCGTCCACTAAGACAATCAACTTGAGTTGGGGTCATTGGCCCCGTGCACACCACAGTTGGTTCACCATACAGCACAGACGGCGTGAAGTGCGCTGGTGGTTATTGAGAGGCGAGCAGGATGGCGAGCGTCGTTGAGCTACTTTTCTGCGCTTTGACGGAGAGGGACACGGTTGCGTTTTGAGCAAGCCATCAAATGGCACCGACCACACGCACTGCAATCAGAACGGTGACACTATCGTAAGAGTGCTGCGCAGGAAAAGAATAGGGTAAATCGGCTCGGAAACGTTCGTTAACAAAGGAAATCACAAGGGGCTTGGCTGTCCAATCAGGCATGTACGCGAAGGATCGCAACTGCATGCACCCCTGCAGGGGCGTGGATATCTGTAGCTGACTGCATGGTCCCATGTGTACGTACCACGCATGCCACCGGAGACCCTTGTAGAACGCGCAATATTTATCATCCACATAAGTCACCGAGCCAAGATTTTTTCCCCATCAATTTCCTTCTAGGGGCATTGTCGAGAGATATGTCTCCATGTGCAATGATATCACAGCAGGAGGAAAGAACATAGGAAGGAGATACGATTTTGAGCAGCCCAGGACTTTTGGGTAGGAGGATGCAATCACCGGCAATCGCGCATAAACCACCAAAGGAGTATTTCGGTAGTTATCAATTTGCAAATTGTCTCGGGGATACAGATCGTTAAGTCGTATTTGCAACGACATTGGGGACAAACCAAAGGCGCAACAACTGGTTTAGGTGGTGTCGCTGAGGTGCTGCGCCGTATGCGCCCCAGCAGCGATGCTTGACTCCAGCACACGACATCGTGCTACCCACGGGACGGAGTCCATTGTAGTATAATATGTAAAGGAAGTAAAAATTCGCTCTCATAACTATGTTATCAGAAGGGAGAAAAATTTTACTTGCGTGTGCGCCAAGGCTACTCCACACTCCGAGACGACCCGCAACGCATTCGCCGAGCCCACTGCATGTGACATGACCTCATCCCAGGTGAAATGTCCACGTCGAGGTAAAACCCTGAGGGAGTCTAGAGCCTATCTACCTCAGGCAGGGTCTGACGATACATATGCCACCTATTCCACTATCACTAGTGAAACATCATTTCGGATTTTCAAGTGTGACTCAGGCGAGCTGATGATTTTTCGCGACTGCCTTATCGTTGTGAAGGTGTGATCGGTATATTTCCTTTAGACTGTTTTTGTGATAGGTATATAGCGAACCATGTTATAGGGTTGGTTGGAGTTGGTAGGCGGAATGGCCCATGCCGCTAATGCGTCAAGTTGGCGAGAAAAAATTTATCGTAACAAGACATCATTATAGGAAGATATCTCAGTCTCGTTCCCGCTGAGTTGATCTGAGTGTCACCTTTTTACTAAACCAGCGTTCGCTTTCCGCACAAAAGAGTCCTGGATCTGTTTATTCATCGTGAAAAAAGCGAACTCTTATCGGCTCATACCGGAAAACTGCTGAATCGACATTAGAAAGCGATAATTCGATTGGACGCATCCTAGTATTTTCTGGCGACCGGCTTAGTGGTGTATTAGCGGTTCACTCTCGGCTAAAAATCGACTTGGCTGTTTCGGGCAAGGAACCGCAAATTAGCTGCTTAGGCACCATTGAAGGGGACGAGCCGACAAACATGAATGTAGCGAAACATGTACGTCTATCATAGACTGCATATATAAACCAACTGGCCACCATGTAAAACATTCTTTCTCATTCTAACTTTAAAGACACCCACTTCCGCAGTAAGGTACGTATATCGCAGAGATCTGCATCTTCGAGTGCAAACAGTTGAGGTTGATCACGATCGCAAACACATTTCTGATCCCGGGTGAAAGGGCGAGACAGACACAGATAACGAAATTTGAGCTAACAATTGATTAGCATCTACTATTCGGGGGGAATCAAGAATTTTTACCCATCACGCTGCGCACCCTGCCGGGCATGGCCCTATTGTGTCGTCAAGATGCCCAGAGGAGTACCTGTTAAAGGGAAAACCTGTGAAAAATCCTTTCTTCGAAACTCTCACTGCGCCCATGGTTTGGCATCGACGACTCTTGAACTCGTTTCCGTTTGCGGAAACTCCTTTCTTCAGAGACCTTACGAGTAGAGAGATTGCACATGACTTTGCAAGCAGTAACTTGCTGCACAATGAGAGTGAGATGACGGCTAATTGACCACATAGCGCTTTAAGTAGACGAGGAGGAGGCCCCGGAAGTAAGCGCCTGAATCGAGCGTTA